GATAGGCTCCAAAGCTACACAGAGAAACCCTGTCACAAAAAAAACAAAAACAAAACAAAACAACAACAAAAATCATCGACAAGAATATCAGACCAGGTTTCACATCTGTATAAAATGTATAAGTGTACATTTATTTTCATTAATGCATACATGAATTTGTATGTAAAATTTCCATGTTATTATATACCTCTTTGAAAAATCAATCTTTAGTTAGTAAGTAAGTAAAGATGCTAGCATGAGCTTAAAAAAATCTTTTGGTGTTCCCTCCTGATGGATTCTTTAGGATTATACCTGAGATTAAGAGCACTGCTTTGCAGGCAAGTGGCTAGTGGGATATGACAATTGTATTTAGGGAACAATAACTTTCTTTCAAAGCCACGTGTGGTGGTACCACTTTTTTATTTTTTTATTTTATGCGCATTTGTGTATTGTCTGCATGTGTATCTATGTGTGGGTGTTGGACCCCCTGGAATTGGAATTACAGGCAGTTGTGAGCTGCCATGTGGACACTGGATATTGAACCCTGGTCCCCTGGATGAGCAGCCAATGCTCTTAACATTGAGCCATCCCTTCAGCCCTGGTAGCACACACTTTTAATCCCAGTACTTGGGAGGCAAAGATAGGTAGATCCCCTCAGTTTGAGGCCAGATTGGTCTACAGATGGAGTTCCAGAACAACCAGGTCTACAATGAGGAAACCTGTCTCAAAACAAAAGAAACCAAGCAAACAAACAAATTCAAACATTCTTTCAAATAGGCTGGCTGATGGCTGTAACTGGTACACTGTCCAAAGTATCGATGGATTAGTTACATTAAGGGTACTTACGTCAGCATAGTGGCCTATCATATCACATCGGTCACAACGTTTTCTCCAGGAAGATCTTTCAAGACATCTGTGTGTGGAAGACATGGGCAAAGAGCAGTCTAAGCAGAAACGGGCGGGACAGCCATACTGGAGGTGTCCTCTCTCTGAGCAGAGGCAACAAGGCCGGACTTTCTATGTGGCAGACAAACACAAATTTATCAGTATCAAATGGTAGAACATTGGTTATTCCTTTCCTGTATAATTCGATATAAAGTTATTTCTGGACTCTGGACTCAAAGCTTGAACACAGCTATTAGTATGTTGCTGCCCTAAAGTCTTAGGTCTGGATATATGCCCAGCAGGCACTTAACTTAGCATAGCTTATCTTAGAGAAGAATAGTCATAGAGTAGAAATACCTAGGAAAACAGAATGAGGATATCTGGAAACTAAGTCGCAGAAGGAACAGAGAGAAGCAGAAGTATGCCTATGACGAGCTGTTTAGAAGAGATACTAGGTAATGTGTATACCTAGTGTGGCCACTTCATGCCACAATATCTTAGAGCTAGGTAGATGTACTTGCTTTACATAATTTGTATTAATACACATATATAAATGAAAACAATCACAAATTTCTAACAGTGAAGATCATCCCACAATGAAATATGCTGTTTAAAGAGCAGAAGGTTTCGAAAGGAAACGGAATCATTTCACTCAGTCTTCTAGGCATAGAATAGGAAGTGATTTGCACACAGTCACACACCTCATAATGGGGAAATTGAAATGGATCCCAGGGTTTCCAGATGCTGCACTTACTGCTCATCCCTGAGCCAGGCTCATGAGCTACTACTTGTAATCCAACATACTTGAACAAGAGCTGAGTCTAGACCTAACAGTTTGACTCTAACAAGAAAGAAGCATCATGCATCTCACGTACTTGTGGTAAGGGGCAGTTTTTTGACAAATGGCCACGTTTATCACAATTTCTACATGTGACATTTTTGTTGGCTGTATAATATCGGTTGGTCAATCTTCCAGATGATCTGTTATTGCCTATCTTGGCCTAAGGGTAGGAGGAAAAATCAAGAATTAAAATTATTTCAGTCAGTTTAAGGAAACCTACCTATTCTTCCTCTTAAAATGTTCAATGAGTAAGAAACATTAAATTTTAGGACAGTTCCATTACTTTGGTAAGACACAAGAATTAGTAGACACCTGTGTCCAATCTAACACCTGGATGTGGACTCCACCCCATAAAGGTGGGCACAATGATAGCCCTATTTCTATTTCTTTTACACTTGTTTATATGACTCCCTCCCACTTACTATTCTCCACTTAGGGTTCAGGTCTAGCAGGAATACTGATATGCTTTATTTAGTTGTTGCTAACTTCTATATCTAAACATATGCCATTTATTAGTGAATAAGAGGCTTGCTTGAAATTTTAGCCAGGGAATGGCATTTTTAAGATTTTGTGCTTCAAAACATTATAAAACCATATAACTACCACATATATCCTTCTTTTGAAAAGCACAGGGCTATCTCTATTGCCTATAAAACTAATTATACTTTCTAAGAGTATGAGATAATATTCTTCCACTATAGTTCTTGTACACAGTGACCCAATTCTAGTTGTCTTGTATTCCAGAGAACTATTCTATGAAATTCTAATATCTATGAAAGAACATGAACAAAACACATCATATGAAATACCTAAAGAGGAATATGCAAATCCCAACCATGCGTTTATCTTGTTTGGCAGAATTCCATCTTTAAAGCCAGGCATGGTGGTTCATGACTATAATCCCAACACTTGGGAGGCCGGGGCAGGAGGATCTCGAGTTCGAGGCCAGCCTAGGCTATGTAGGAGACCCTGTCTCAAAAAAAGAAAAATACATACATAAATAAATTTCATTTTTTAAAAAGCTTCATTTTTTTTTTTACCTGTTATTCTCTTGAACTGGTGGACAGTTATCTCCAATCTAGTTATATCTTTAAAACTTCACATCAAGTTGAAAACAACTTAATTTTTTTTTAAGTATTTGCTACAATAAGGCTAATAATTGACACCAGCACCTGCCACATTCTAAATATAGACTGACCATTTCCTTACACTGAAGAAACAGTTATTTCCGGTGTTGAGCTTAGTAGTACCAGGCCTAGGGGCTAACAGGAATCATAAAGGCAAGGAAGAAACAGAAACAGAAGGGTATCAAATGATTACAATTACCCATCAGCTGACAAAATTCAAAGTTGAGTTAAATTTCTGACAAGTTAAATCACACACATAATAAAACCAAACTTAACTCTTCTAAGATATAGGGACTATGTCTTTTTTAAAAAAAGTTTATTACTTTTCCAAGAGTTATTGTAGTAAAACAAATGGAAATCTACAGATGAAGAACAATATTAAACTACTATTGAGAACTTTTAAAAAATTGATTTTACCTCGATGTCTTTGTCACTGATGAACCAGTTTACATCATCTTCCCCTACAAAATGAAACAAATGTTACTCTTAGTGACTAAAGACACATACAGACATATAATGTTAGCACTCAAATGGGACCCTAAAGATATAAATGAGAAGTGCTAAATATTTTAAATTCTTATGAAAGTCTAAAATACTATTTTCCAGACTTATTTTATTTATTTAAAATTGTGTGTCTGTGCATATGAGTGTGTGTACCCCTCAAGGCCAGAAGGGGGTGTCAGATCCTCTTGGATCCAGAGTTATAAGTGGTTGTGAGCCTCCCCAAAATGGGTCCTGGGACATAAACTCTGTTCCTCTGCAAGGGCAACAAGTGTTCTTAACTGCTGAGCCATCTCTCCATCTCTAAAATGTTGTATTATTTTTGTGGTGATAGGGATTGTACTCAAGGTTTTGTGCATGTCACACGAGCACTCTATCACTAGAGATACATGTGAACCTTTAAAAGTCAGGGTTCTGTGTGCACCTGCATGTGTGTGGGGACATCTATAGGGGAGAAGAGGATATTGGGTGTTTTATTCTCCAACACTCCACCTTATACCTGTGAGACAGTATCTCCCACTGAACATGGAGCTTGCGCTCTTTAACTAGGTTGGCAGCAAACTCTCTGCTTACCAGAATGCTGAGATTATAGGTACATGTGTGCTCATGCCCCATTTTATACATGGGTGCTGAGGATTTGAACTTAGGTCCTAACACCAGTGCATCAAGCACTCTCACCCACCTGAGTCAACTACTCAGCACTTTACTTAAAAGCACTCTTATCAGTTGTGTGACCCAACAAATAGTTATCCATTCTGTGCCTCATTCATATTTTTGCCCCTGAAATGGGAATGTAGTATTTTTAGTAGTTGCTGTGACTACCTAAAATCTTCTGTAGGAATCAAATGAGACTTAAAATGCTTTGTGTATCAAGCTCTATACAAATACAAAAAGTAAGCAGAAGGCCCAAATACTCAGCAGCAGATGCAGAAAGAAATTCATCTCAATTTCTTTACCCGACTATGCAGAGCTTTACTTAGAGGGGAGGTATCTCAATGATCCCAACACCCTTTTGAAGTTTGTGGGCTCCAGACACTAGGACATTGCAAAACTTTGTGAATATGCCTCAGAATCTTGTATTGACCTTCTAGACTTGGCTTTTGTGAAGTAAAGTATAAGCTCTGACCACTCTCTCCATCTAAACTCTTCAACAAGTTACTTGTTACTTGTTAATGAGTCTTCCCAGCAGTGTAAACAGATGTCAGTTTTATTCAGTTACTCTGTCCAGCATCAGGAAATGCACATAATCTCATTATATCCAAGTCCGTAGAGGAGAAATTCCTCAATTCAATATCAGCATTAACTTTGTCTACTGGTTTTTCTAGGTGACTTCTACTATAGCATCAAACACTTTAAAAAGTATTGTATTTATTTGTCTGTCTATGTGCATGTTAACATCTGTGTGGAGGTCAGAGGACAATCTGAGGGAGCTGGTTCTCTTCTTTCACTATATGGATTCTAGGGATCAAACTTGCAGGCACCTTCACTTGTTACATCATCTTGCTGGCCTCCACTGTAACATTTTAAAAATACTGGACCTTGAAAACGAGTTCATTTCGTAGATTGGGAATTTTGCACTTCATTTATAACATCAAAAATAGTGACATAAAGGAGCAAAACAAGAGGCCAAATACCTAGAAACTTCTGGGTGGGGTAATGTATGCCAGGGGCAGACAGAGGAAGTAGGATTGTTGTACCACAGCCTACATAAGTGAGCTTAGGCTAGCAACAGCCACACAGCCAAACCCTGTCTCAAAGCAAAAACAAAACCCAAACTTCCAAATATCCACAAACCAAGTATTAATCTGAAAATACAACTGTAAAACTGGAGGACTACAACATTTTTCTGTGTCAGCTATTTTCTTTTCTTTGCATTGCCCTTTTACAGACTTGCAAATGCTGCCTATTCCTTTGGTCCCTCTCTGGACAAGGAAGGGACCTATGACTAATGCAGAAGCTAAGGAGGTGTCAACAAAGGACTAAAAGCCAAGTTATGATTTCCTCCTCCATCCAACCTTACTACTTTCACCTATCTCAAAAACACAAATCAAGCTTGACTAGCTTCTTTGAAAAGAATTTTGAAGAGACATGAAGCAATCTATATTTTTTCAGGCCTACCAGGGGTAAGTGTCTAGAAACATATTTTAAAATAAAATACCTGTACTAAGAAAATCATGAGGCTGCTTTACAAAAAAGCCAATCCACAGGAAAGCAGAGATGCTGTGTTGCTGCTGATTTTCTTTGTGGAGTTTGGAGGCTGCATACATGTACTGAGAGTGAGAATATATTAAATAGCAGCAGCTTCATTCTTTCAGACCACCATATTATTATTCTTTCATTCAAAAGATGCAGGTAGTTAACATGTGGACTGTAATTTTCAGAGCTGCCCTCTGTATCTGCAACATTCATCATTAAGATTTAATGACCCTTGTAATTACTTGAATTATAAAACTCATTTAATTCTTTGTGGGTGCATGTGTGTATGAATGTGCATGCATGCTTGTAGAGAGGACAAAGCATCTTACGTCTTCAACAGCTCGCCACAGTACTTTTTTGAGACTGAGTTTCCCATTGAACCAAGGACCCACCAATTTGACAAGAGCAGCTCAGCATGGAGACTCTGGGATCTGCCGGTCTTCAGTTCCCCAGTGTAGGGATTATAAATGTGTGCTGTACCCAGGTTTTTGCATGGGTGCTAGGGATTGAATTCAGGTCCTTATGCTTGCATAGCAAGCACTTTACTGACTAAACCATTCCCCCAACTCCATAAAGCTGATTTAATTTTGTTCTTAAAAAAAAAAGGAAATGCAGGCTGGGCATTGTGGGGATGTCATTAATTCCAGCACTTGGAAAGCAGAAGCAGATAGATCTTTGTGAGTTTCAGGCCAGTCAAGGCTATATTGTGAGCCTCAAACAAAACAAAACAAAACAAAACAAAACAAAACAACAAAAAAGATGAAATGCAGGGGTATACATATACACCCTTGACTTTCATTCTTTTCAAGACAGTTTTGGTTATTCTAGGCCCTTTGATTTTTGGGTATAAATTTTAGAATAAACATTAATTTCTGTAAAAAGTTTGCTGGAATTTTGGCTGATACTGTGTTCAATCTACAGAGAGGTTATTATAATATCAAGTCTCCTCATAAATGCATGTATCTCTCTTAGTTTACTCTGGTTTAAGTTTTCATGGTAATACTTTTCCAATTTTCGACTGTATGTTTATGCAAATATAACTGACTTTTATACACTCATATTACGTTGTGTAAATCTGTTGCAATCACTTAAGTTTTAGAAGCTTGTGTTTTATGCTTTTGCCAATTTTCAATATATATGTTCACATCACCTGTAAGTAAAGACAGTCTTACTTCCTTCTTTCTTATACATATACATACACATCTGTATGTGAGGTCAACTTGTGAAAGTCAGTTCTCTCCTTCCATCATGTGGCCCCAGAGGGATGTAACTCAGGTTGTATGTTAGGCTTGGAAGCAAGTGCCTTACGATTTGGAACATCTTGCTTGTCCTTGCTTTCCCCCTGTCAATTCACATGCTTTTATTTCTTTCTCTTCTGTCACTGCTTCATAGAATGATGGTTGATATAGGTGGCAACAGTAAATCTTGGCCCAGTTCCCAATCTTAGGAAACAAAATACAATTTTTTTTTTACACAATCAAGTATACTGTTCTTTATGAAAATTTTATAGATAAACTTCTTTCTATTCCTAGTTTGCTGAGTTTTTAATATAACAGGTGGTGATTTTTGCAACAAATTGAGATGTCCTTGATTTTTCCTGTTCCTTCCTAGATGGTTATAATAATTTAGTTTCAAATGTCAAACTGACCCTTTATTTTGGAATCAACTGAGTTAATATGCAGTATTTTTAAAAAACAAATACTATAAACACATCTGAATTTTATAATTGCATTCATGAAGAACTATATCTTTAATGTGAAATGATCCTTGGAGGCCCATGTTATAAAAACTTAGAATGTAGCTAACAGCATTATTTTGGGAGGCCAGGTGACTTTTAGGAGGTAGAGGCAGAAGTGGGTCACTATGGGCAGGCCTCTGAAGGCTACAGTTGGATCTCAGTTCAGGCCTGCCCTCTTTGCTTCCTGTCTACTGTCACGTGAAGAGCCACCAGGGTCTGAGTTGCTCTGCCACCAACCACTGCATTGTGATGGACTGAAAATTCCAAAACCATGAACCAAAATAAATATTTACAAGTTGTTTTTATCCAGTATTTCTGATAGGAAAGTAACTAATACAGGGATATTGATGTATGGTTTCCTAACAATACCTTTGTGTGGTTTTTGATAGGGTATAAGATTGGACTCATAAGAATTGAAAAAAAATTGTGTTAAATTATTATTCCTTCCTTAAATATGTGATAGAATTCACCAGTTGTGTTAGGGCTTTCTTTGTGGAGCAGGAATTTTACTTGTAGGAGCATTTTAAGAAAGGAATTCTATTTCTTCAGTAAATATGGATACTGCCATATTTTTTTTATTTCTTCTTGGGCCAATTTTAGTAATTTGTGATTTTTAAATAATTTTCTCTTATTCTTCTTTTTCTTCAATTTATCTAATTTGTACTTTAGTCTATTCGATAAAAATTTCATATACATATTGCTTAAGTTCCATTTGCTTCTTTTTTTGTTGTAATTTGTATTAAATTTTTTCTTTGATAATTTCATACATGTATATAGTACATTTAGATTACTGTTATCCCACTTTCTCATCTCCTGTCTTTTCTGGCAAGTCTTCCATCATGAGCCTATTTCCCATATTCATATCCTTTTGTTTTGTTGTGTTACTGAGTTTAGGACCATCTGTGTGACCATGGAACCACTGGAGCCTGGCAGTTCAGACCCTCCTGACCACCAGGTGACTCTGTATCTCATCAAGTTGACAAGTGAGATTAATTACCACAGAGCCCAAGCTGGCTTCCTACCTGT